GCAGCGCTCACTATATGGGTTGAAGCAGGCCCCACGGGCCTGTTTCAAAAGGCTACATGATTTCTTACTTCTTGCAGGGTTTGCCTCGTCAAAAACAGATGTCTATTTGTTCCACTACACGTCAGGCACATCTCGGGTGGTTTTGCTAGTCTACGTTGATGACATCATCATGATGGGGAATGATGCACTGTTAATCAACACCTTGCTACAGCGTCTAGCATCCACCTTTAAGATCCGAGATTTGGGTAAACCTGGCTTCTTTTTGGGCATCGAGACCATATTTATAGATAGTGGGTTCATTCTCTCTCAACGGCGGTACATGACAGACTTACTCAATCGTGCTGGGATGCTTGACTGCAAATCCCTCACTACACCTGCGGCAGTCACAACATCAGCAATCTCTACAACAACCTCATATGAAAACCCAACACACTATCGGCGTATTGTTGGGGCACTGCAGTACTTGACGATCACACGTCCGGATTTGTCCTACTCCGTGAATCGCTTGTGTCAGTTCATGCATTCACCGACGGATGAGCATTGGAGCATGGCAAAACGGGTGTTACGCTACATAAAAGGCACTATCAGTTATGGCTTGCGTATTACTTCATCGGCTTCAACAGCTATACACGCTTTCTCAGACTCCGACTGGGCGGGTTGTCCAATTGACAGAAAGAGCACCAGTGGTTATGCTGTGTTTCTCGGCTCTAATCTCATATCCTGGTTATCCAGAAAGCAACGAACGGTAGCTCAATCATCCACAGAAGCTGAGTACAAAGCTCTCGCTGATGTCTCCGCGGAGGTCACTTGGGTTGTGTCACTGCTTCGGGAACTAGGGCTTCACTCTTTCGAACCGGCTACTCTCTGGTGTGACAACCTTGGGGCAACGTATCTATGTGCGAATCCCGTGTTTCATTCAAGGACAAAACACGTCGAGATTGATTATCACTTCGTCCGGGATAAGGTTGCCTCAGGAGACTTCGTCGTCAACTTCGTCTCTACCAAGGAGCAACTTGCAGACATCTTCACTAAACCACTCACGGGACCCAGGTTCACGCTTCTTCGCGACAAGCTCAATGTCGTCTCGCACCAACCTTGAGCTTGAGGGGGTGTGTTAATAAGTGTTATATTCTGTAGTTTTTATATTCTTTGTTTATGTGGTTTAGATTCAATTGACTTGAGCTCTCTATTAGATAGGAGAATTTCACGTCAAGTTATCTTTTATCTGATGTATTCTCATTCAGTTATAACTAATCAATTATTTCAAACTCTCATCCCACAAAAATTTAAACTTTTTAACCAATATATATGTGAATTATTTCGTAGAACTTGTAAAGTGCTTTTGTAAAATATTCTATGATAGAAAGTACTCATAATGTCATAATGAGTCAAATATACTTGGTCTAAAATATCTTTTACTACAATGCATCTTTCAAGAAAAAAAAAATTAAGATATTCGAGCGTCATATCATTTAAGTTTATGTTGAGTTTTTTTTTTTTTTTTTAAAGACATGTTACAATATTACTCCCCTATTATCTTTTTACAAATAAATTTTGCAGTAAAAACATTAAAAAGATCCTTAATTAGTTATATACCTGGCCCGGAATAATTAAGTTGTTTGGCAGCAGTTTTATATATTTTTAATTTTTATTATTTTTCCTTTGGAAATGATTGATTTGAGGAAAGATAAAAGAAAAAAGCTGCTCCATTTTGAAGCAGTGTGATCCACTTTTATTTTTGAGTTTTCATTTTCAGTGACTCTCCCTAACTAATAGGTATATGTGCAAAGGCAATGATGGGGTAGTTGAGATTATTGGAAAGAAATAATTGACAGCTATATATACATATGACAATATAATTGTGTGCTGCAAGATTCATCAATCATATCTTTCCATTGCTTATGAATGATTGCTAGCAGCCATTTCACAAACTTCAATTTGATACTGAAAATGTGACAGCACCAATATATTGTGGGTGGACAAAAGTCAATATATGGTACCCAATGGGTACAATATTCACATAAAATCAAATTACAGAACATATGCTACTGCAACAAAAAGAAGTATAATAATATTACGCACAATTTAGAACATATTAGACCTATTTGGTAACATAGTTAGCTTATCGATCAATTTTAACTTATTTGATCACCATTAACTATTTGACTTGGTTAAACAGTCAATATAAATATTTGATTGATTAGCTTTCTGTAACAGTTTATTGTTCTAAACACTAAAATCAAAAGACTGCTTAAAGCAGTTTTTTCGATCAGTTTTTTTAGAAAGTCATTTTGCATGTAATCAGTTATCAGCTAACATCTAATTTAATTACCAAACATTTTTTACAATCAGCTAATGTTATCAACTAGTCAAACCGCTAACACAATCAACTAACGGCTGTTAGCTAATAACCATTTATCAAACACTCCAATATCATATATTATTTGATATATTATCACCTATAAATGCTCGTGGTGCTAAGTTATCAATTTCTGTTTGAAAATGATATTGCAAATTGACCTAATCAGTTGGGTTTTGTGGAGTTATCATGGTTGTAGCAGGCGTTAGGCGCTAGTCGGGCGTCTGAGCAGTGCCTAGCACTTACGCAGCCTAGGCAGGAGCCAAAAAAAAATAGTGGCAGACTTGCAGTTTGACAATTTTAATGAGAATGTTTTCAACATTAAATCAAATAACACATCCAAATATATATATATATATATATATATATATATATATATATATATATATATATATATATATATATATATATATATATATATATATATATATATATATATATATATATATATAATGAAAAAAAAAATAGTAAGGCCGAGCTGACTGGGTTAACTCGATCGAAATGAACGAGTTAACTCAACCAAGTTAGACACTAGGTGGCTGTCTAGTCGGCCGAGTTAGGCGCTAGGCGGACACCTAGAGAGGAAATCGCCACGGTTTAGGGGCGCCTAGCGCCTAGACCAATTTTTGCAACACTAGGAGTTGTACGAAGGAGATCGAAAGCATCGCGTGAGGTATTGAGAGTCTAATTTAATCTCAATATGTAATAGTTGGGTCCATTATGACTTCTACAAGAGAAACACTATCTGGACTCTATTTTTCACTCCCAAGTTCTACTCTTATTTTCAAATTCTTGATGTAGGCATTTTTCTTGATATACACTTGATGAAAATAGTTTACCCATGTTTGTCACATCATAGTCTATGCATTTGTAACAACTAAATATGCAATCCTGAATAAATTTTAAAAAATGAATGAAAAAGTTAAATTTTAAAACTAAACTGTAAATGTTATACCCTAAACAATAAAAAGTTGAACCCCTAAACCAAATAAACTCAAAAACTCAATAAAATTGAAACCGTAAGTGCAATGCACTTTCGCATATTTGCAAGTGCAATCTTTTAATATTAAATGTGCAATATGTTAATACCCTAAATGTGCAATTTGTAACAACTAAATGTGCAAACCTAGAAAATTCTTAGAAGTGCAGATTTTAGCTTTCAAGTTTGCATAGTAAAATTGATGATAATTATGAAAATGTCACTACATTTTTTATAAAATCTGATCTGATATGTCCAATTTTTTCAGATGTAAAGCTGAGATTGGTTCTTAATTTTCTCCTAATGACTTGTTCTCATATGATCCAATGTGTGTATAATAATATAAAAGTGATACGAAAATCAACTTGGAAAAACAATGATTCCAAAATGTAAAGCACTCGTGTTTATAACGTATTATAAAATCCTTTATATAATAAAGCTATATGGTTTGGGATATATTTAATACTACAATTAATGCAACAACATCCTTTATTATTAAAAAAAAAAAAAAAAAAAAACACAACATTTAAAAAATAAAATAGCTATATATTATATAATCATATAAAAAATATACTTTTTAAAAATAAAATAGTTATATATTATATAATCATATAAAAAATGTGTTCAATTAGAGTTTAAATTTACACCTACAAAATTTAAAATTTGCTTTCCAAATGTAATTATCTTAGTTATTATTCGTATTGTGAAAATTATAATATAGATGAAATACAATTAAGAATAAATCAATGTAATTATGTAAATTCTCTCTATAAATTTATTTGAATATGCACATAATTAGAGATTATATTAACCATACAAAATTATAATTTTAATTTTAATTGTAATTTTGTATTCTATAAAAATAATAAATACTTGACCAATGGAAGCTCAAAAATATTATTATATTAAATAATTTAAAATATTTTAATTTTTCTATTTTTTATTTATATTTATAATAACATAATTTTTTTCCGTGCATCGCGCGGGTGAATTACTAGTATGAAATAATAGAAAGAGCAACTAAGAGAGTGAAAAATTATTTGTTCCCATGGGATATGCACCTTTATATATAGGCAACAATGATGAAGAGAATAACTTATAATGACACTTCAATATACACTCTTTTAGGAGTTCAGAAAACAAAGAGATGGATGTGTAAACTATAATAGATATTTATAATATAATAATTTTCAACATTATTTTATTTAATTTAAACAAATGTTAATACAACCATAAATAGGTACTCCAATCAGTCCAATGCCAACTTGGGTTCAATCAAATTCCAAAATTAAAGATTCGCATTTATGAATTGTGTGGATACATTTTCTTGGGTTCAATCTTTACTGAGTAACTGAATGGTTAGTCAAAAGAAAGAACATTTTCTTACAGAATACAGAATATTCCTTATTTCCAACTCATAAAATGTGGCAGTAACTCAGTAAGTAATTTAGTCGAAGGACTCAAGGAGAAAACCAACATTTTTTATGCTGATATGTAATTTAACATTATATTAGCTCAAATGAGACTGCATTATGACAAAGAATGAAATACAACTCCTTTGGTTTCAAAATTAATCAAACCACCAACCTTGGATAAATCAATGGGGACATCAAGATAGTGCCCCCTTCCCAACTGCATTTTGCTTTGTGGACTTTAGTTGCTCTCCACGGCGCTTTCGAACTAATAGGTTTCATGTTACATCAATTCGAGCTTGCTCGATCTGTTCAATTGCGGTATTTTCTCTTTCTGTTATGCTTATTTTCATTAGTATTTTTAATTAGTTTTAAATTTGGCCTTTTGTGCATAATAGTTCTTTTAACATAATAATTTATTAATAAATAAATTTTATATACTAATATAAAACTTAACATTATGAAAAATAAAATTTAAAATAACTTCAGCCAAACACATAAAATGGGACGGAAAGAATATTACATTGTTTAAAAATATTATTATTTTTCTTCAAATGTATCACACTTTTTCTTTCTCTTAAAAGTAAAAATTAGTTTATACATGATTAGTATTACATTTTCCATTTAGACCTAATCCTTCTCACAAATAAATCATCCATTTTGAATTAACATTGCATTTGAAATTTGTACTACTTTAAAATAACTAGGAACATGTGTAATCCTTTTATAAAGGCAACACATGGATCACATGTAATCCAAACATACTACCAATTGTAGATGGATGTTCCCAAAGACATCATTGTTTGCTAGTTTGATTTGTCATAAAAAAAAAAAAAAAAAAAAAAAAAAAAAAAAAAAATTGTACTACTAGCTTGGTCTTGAAAAACAAAATATGGCAACAAAGATAAACCACCCTGACTTGTATGGGATTACTGAGCACTGGCAACATAAAGATAAATCTTCATCTCCTTACAAAGCCTCTACACCTGGTGTGATCACAAAGACAATTACAAGAATTGTGAATGAAGAGAAGAACTCAAAACTAACATTATATTGCCAGCCAAAGAGCTAACTAGTAATCTTTTACCTCGAGAAACACAACACCTGGCTTCCTTTCTGGCTCCCTTTTATTAGAATTATTATTTCTGGGCTTGACTTTATCCCAGGGAACACAACGTTGAGATGCAGGAGCATAGCTGCAAAATAGATTATAAACCAAATATCAAGCCACACTAAGATATTGGCACAATAAACAACAATAATTAAGTAGGATCAGAGCAGAAATAAACACAGGAATTGAAGCACATTAGAATATTGAAATGTCAAGAAAGACAGTTGTACTTACGCCAAACAAACACAATTTACTATGGAGGGAAAAAATTTCTTGGAACAGAGAATCTCTATGGAGGGCATTGCAAGTGAGGTTGACCTTCTCTGGTTTTCATATTCAACTGCAAAATCCATCTTGAAGGCATAAACCAAAATATGTTTTTCATCCCCAGAAAAAATCACACAAAACCTTTCACTTCCAATATCAAGTAGGTGTGAAATGTTATTAACCCCATAATTATGTTCAAGTAAACTCCTATAGGATTTAGCCGGAGAGAACTCCCTGCTGCACCAAGTTGAACATGATACGCAGTAGGTGTACCATAATTAAGGGCAACCAAAATCTGACTATTATCATTAAACTTATGAGAGAGCCCTATATCGCCACTGTGACGATAGGGAATGGGAATTTTGCGTTCTTTAAACTCGCTCAACAAGGACTCTATTTCCTCCCATTTTGATGATGTAGTGTTGAAAGAGAAGGCATGAAGCTCGTGAATGTCCTTGGGCCCTCCACGGATAAACAAGTATATACGATCGTAAACCAGAAAATACGCCATCACATCATACCACAGATAATCATATATCTAGGGAGGGAGTTGGAACTTGGAAGGGTGCAAAAGCAATTTTTGTCTGGATCGAAGGACTGAAAACAGCAAAGCGATTTCATTGGACCGTAGCTAGGACAAACAACTGAGAATAAGTAAGTCTTAGGCTTAGCTTGTAACACAAAAGGAATAACCATCGGTTCGTACATAACACTTGATTTGTAAAGTAACTTGGTATCCCTAATGGGATATTCCTTCCCCTTGATCTTGCGAGGATTGAAAAAATACAGGCTCTTGTTATAACGTGTACCATTCACAGCCGCTAACAACAAGCCCCCAAACAAATATACATCCTGCCCTGGGCTGAAGATTCCCATAGTTGGGATTACGATAGAACCAAATTCACACTCGAGCATGAATTAGGGCTGGTGGGCTGAATCAAAGTCAGGGATATTAACACGATAAAGTCCATCCTCAGTGAGCAAATAAGCATATTTGGATTCTCCCATATATGTGAAATTGATGTTATCCTGAAAAAAGAAAACAACACAAGGCATCCAATGACCGGATAATAGAAAGGACTACAGATCTATTTTTATAACAGAATGAACAAAAGAGCATACTCTTCCGCTTCTCCGCTTTGCATTTGGTTTGGAAGAGGAAAGGAACGTTTATCATAAAAATAAATAAAAAATAAAAATAAAAAAAAAATAAAAAATCTAATCTTGTTCCCTACTACTTTCTCGTAGATATACTCTATTTGAATGCAAAGACATACGCGATTGAAATTTTTTTATAGACAATGAGAGAACAAAAGAGTATTGCCACCATTATATATTAATCAATTCAATCTCAGAAATTTAAAACTAAATATAAAGGGTGGCCGGCCTCAAAATCAATAAAATAAATTTTACAAAATTGAAACATAAAAATACAGTATCAGACTTTCAGCCACCATAGCTTAATTAATCCACCAAACAAAGGTCAGCCACCATAGCTTAATTAATCCACCAAACAAAGGACGAATTAGATGTTCTTACCTTTCCTCAAATGGTTTCCCTTAAGCAAGCTAGGGAGTTAGGGATAAGAGGCCTGAATATGGCAATATTATGTCCAAATTTGATCTAATATTATGATAATATATAACCAAATCATATATGATACGATTTAATGAAGAATTATTTGAATATGGTAATATTATATTCGAATTTGATCTTTTTTTGGATGGTACTGACGCTATTACATTGTATTATCTGTTCAAACATACTTTTTCAATCTAATAAAGCACAAAGAGTCAACAACGCCTCCTCTATCCTCTAAGGCTCGATCTCATGACCTCCCACATGGGAGAGGTCACAACATGTCATATGAGCACAAGGTGCTTAACCCGAATTTGATCTAATATTATGGTAATATAACTAAATCATATATGCTACGATTTAATCAAATTACTGTGTAGAAATATGGTAATATTATGCTACGATTTAATGAAGAATTATTTGAATATGGTAATATTATGTCCAAATTTGATCTAATATTATGCTAATAATATCACCACATCATATATGCTACGAATTAATGAAGAATTATTTGAATATGGTTACAAATTACAATGTACAATTTTTAACTAAAGATATGCTACGTTAAAAAGATATATTATTCAAGGGTGAAATATATGCTACGATTGACCTAAATTACCGTGTAAAATTTGATCTCAAGGACATTAATTGCTTTGCACAAACTAATTAACCTAATACTGACCCGACAGAGCATGTGGGAGGATGTAAATCAATGGGTTAGTAGACAGGGCCAAATGTCGGTGCGCACAAGGAATCTGTCCACTTTGGACATAATTCCCACACTGCCGTCGCCGAAGTTCGAACCTTGGTCTCTTACCCCAAATACTGCCCACTAAACCATTGAACTAAGCTCGTGCTGGTCTAATTAACCTAATACTGATAAGGGGGATTAACGAGAAGAATAAATAAACTAACGTACACAGAAACAATTAACTAAAATCTTGGTAATATTGTTTCCATATTCACATATTAACGCACTACCATAATTTATATTATTTATACTATTATTAAAAACAAAATCATTCTTTCTTAAATTTCCACCCAAACACTTTTGCCCAAACAATAGAAATGGAAAAGGAAAACTGATTAATACTAATCAATAAAAAAATTAGCAGTAAAAAATGAAAATAAAAAAAAAATGATTCATAATTCACTGATTAATACTAATAATATTAGCAGTAAAAACGAAAAAAAAAATCTATACTAATAATAACATATTATAATAATTAAATTTTTATAATTATCAAATAATTTTAATCTTTATATGTTTAATTTCAACTTGTAAAGTTAATTAAATTAGACTTTAGAAGTGACAAGTCGTGATAGCCCATGCATGTACACATGTATAATTTGAAAAAAAAAAATTGACCTTGCCACCAAGTATATAACTATATAAGGAGTAAACGCCGCAAAACTAAATTTCTTAGAGAACATATATAGCACTATTATGTTAATTTTACTTTCATTTTGATTTTAAACAATTGTTATATTGTGAATATATCAACACGACCACACACACACACACACATACACACAAAAAAAGAAGAGTTTTGAAGTGTATTATTTTTAACTTACAACGGCGGTTATATTGCGTAGTAGATCTTGTTGTAGTAGTAACTAAATGATACGACGTCAAGTTTTCGAAATAGACGTCGTGTGTCATTAAAAAAAAAATTGACATCATAACATTTATAACAATTATAAAAGAAATGTGATGTCGGTTTTTATCTTTTTGTTTTTAATTTTTAAAAAATTATATACGACACCGCTTTTTAAGAAAAACTAGAGTAGTATCTTTTTAATAAAAAAAAATACAATAAAACAAGATGTGACGTAAGTTTTTATTAAAAAAAACAACATCATATCTCTATAAAAATTATAAACTACTATACAATGTTGATTTTTCCTAAAAAGTAACGTCGTATCTTATTTTTAAAAAAAAAAATTAAAACTATGATACCACCTCGGCTTTTCTAAAAAAATTGACGTGGTATTTACCTATTTTTTAAAATAGAAATTTTAATGCATAATTTCTTTATTCATATAAGTTCTAAAGAAAAAAAAAATAGTAAACGCCTTTAAAACTCAATCTATTGTATCATGAAACATGAATATAATACAATTTGTATGATATTTGAGCTAATCCGATTATGGCACAATAAGAATATCAAGATATAGGCACTCGTAAATGCAATGGCAAAAGTTCGTTCATTTGGGTAATATGACAGAATCACAAAACACAAAACGAAAAGAATTGTAGAAAACAAGAATAACATCAAGATTTCAAGTACGTTGTGAAGTTAGAATATCAGAGTCGATAATAGGGTTTGTCAATTATTCTGCTCAGCCAACATTATATTTAAGACATGAATTAAGAAATGACCGACTTGCCCTTGACAAAAGGACATTAAATGGCCAATTGTAATGTAAAGACCATAGATGCGTACAAACAAAAAATTAGTCACTAGGTGGTTTAAAAGTTGATGACTGAAAGTGCAAACGCATGCCAAGAAAGTTGAGAACGTCCGCGTGTATTTGCCCATACAAGTTGTTTGCTTCAATCTCTGTTAGGCATTGCATAACGCGCATCGCGCTTGCACGACTATATATATATATATATATATATATATATATATATATATATATATATATATATAACAGTTGTTATATACAGTGGACCATGGTTAGTGCTATGTGGATTATGGTTGTCAAATGAAACTGTAGTTGAATTAAAATGATACTTTAGTATTGCTAAAATGAAGCTAGTGTGTGTGAAAAATGAAACTAAAATTCAGAACCATACAATAACATATATTGTCAAATGAACGTAGAGTGTAATTAAAACAATACTTTAGCATTATTATAATTAAACTAGTGTGTATGAAAAATGAAACAACAAAATAGAGCTCATACAATAGTGTATATTGTCAATGAAACTGTAGAAGAATTAAAAAGATACTTTGGTATTGCTATAATGAAATTAGTGAATGTGGAAATGAAACTAGTGAATGTGGAAATGAAACTGAAAAACAGAGCAATATTATCAAATGAAACTAAAATGTAATTAGAACGATACTTACTTTATGGACCACATTACTACATGGACCATTGTCCACGGTAAAATCTGCCTATACAAAAAGGATGGGGTGGAGTAGGGTAGGCCTGACAATTTATATCGTGGACCCTGGTCCAATATACAGAATTTGACTTCATATGGTACAGAATTCATGTTCATAATACACACACACACATAAACACGATATAATGAACATGTATTCTGTGTATTATGTTAAGTGTTTATGTGTCATCAGTTATATAATACACAGAATTCATGTTCATAATGAACAGAATTTATGTTCATAATACACAGAATTCATGTTCATTATTAAGGATGTTGTGGCACTCCCCAACCAAATTAAAATTATAAGACCACTAGACAATTATCAAGTCCTTGCATAATCTTTATGTGATTGAAACTTAATAGAAATCAGTAAATTAAAAGCTAATCACATTGGCAAGGAATACTTAAAATTTTAACAAACAGATTATACCAAATTATTATGAAAAACTCCAAATATACTCCCAAGAAAGTCCGTTAAAAATAAAGTCTCACTGAAGACCAATTCCTTAGATAGAGTATCAATTTAAGAGAATTAGTGGCACAAGATATTCTTAAGTCATAACCATGAAACTTGCATATATACCTCTTCGATTTACGGTTCAAAGCACGTGCAATTGAACAACCAATGCTAGTTTTCCCAACTCCGGGTGGGCCAGAAAGACAGATAATTTTTCCTATAATTTGATGATTAGAAACATAACCTTACAGTCAAACAAAAATCTTGAGAAGACCAGACATAAGACATAACAAACACATACTAAGGTAGCATCTCAGACATTGCTAACACATTCTATTGATTCTTAGCACCTATGTTTTTATGTTTCCTTTCTTGGTTTCCCTTGCAAGTGTTTTTACTTACATGTAGATGTCTACTTGTTCCAAGTCACATAAACACTCAAGGGTTCTCTTCCTAAATAGGTGTATTGCATGTTTGATTTCAAAAAATGTTAGAAGCAAATTAAGGCAGAGCCACTTTACAAATTTATACTGTTCGCCAACAAATCAGGTAACATCAACAAAATGAAAGTCACTTATACTACTATACTAGAGGAGAATTTTTCAAATATAGTGAAAGTCAATCTTTTATCTTTGCCATAAATATCATCAGGATTGCAAAAGTGCATTTGGGTCAAGTCACTTTTCTCCAATCCATGAGAAGGTACATCCTCAATATGTCCACTGTCTGTTATATCTAATAGTCTAACTATACTGAACAATAATATATGAGAGATCTGACCTCGTATAAGAGCGAAATTGTAGCCATGTTGATCTCCAGCCAGTTGATGTTTCTGTTGTGTTGCCTCTGAACGATAGACCATTTGCCATTATTTGCCTCATACATCACTCACCCTAGAGGGTGTATTGGTGTCTACTGAGCAGTATGAGTACCGTAACTGAATGTGTTATATCATTAATCATCCTGTATCCCATGATTATATTAGGCACAGAGTTTGGTGGACTAACAATTTGTAGTTATTCAGTCCAACTAAACCACTTAATAAGCCTAGTACACTTGCACCCCTTAATTAAGACCCTAATATAATATACAAAATCTTACATTGTCAAGAATAGATGTCTAATCTCAAACAATCTCAAGTGAACTACTGTTATATTAAGATACATCATCTCTAAGAAAGCCATATACCTTATGTTTAATCCCTCACATCTCAAGCCATAACTCAGAGCTCAGCAATTTAAACTGAAGGCACAACTGATCAAGCAAATGTATAGCATACATGCACAACACATAAGCAATGGTAGGGGGCACATTCAACCCTTGTTTATCTATTAGTTTTCTGTTTTTATCTTCAACGCGGGGTAGAGCAGTTTAGTAGCTCGCAAGGCTCATAACATTGAGGTCACGGATTCAAATCCTGTCTCCACAACATCGTGTTTTGCCAAACAATTTGAGGTTTGACTCATTTCACTAGTAATGAAATAACACACCGTTTTGGGGTGGAAGAAAGGACGGGGAAGGAATAGAATCACTACACTAGCATGACCAAGGATACCAAATTGGAAAATGAAAAATATTCCTAATATTCATTATTCTTTTTTTATTATTATTATCCATAGATTAATATATAGATTACTTTATCTTGATCTTGTGTGGATAGTGAGAATCAAACCCGCATATTCTCCTTGGCAAAGAGAAATTTTACCATTCGACCATATCTGCAATTTTTTGTTATTGACACATGTACATAAAATGTACACACATATAAATAATATCCGGATCCTATTTGTGCACTGCCGGACCAAAGACTCTCTCCAGGACGATGTCAATTTATTTTTTCATTCAAGAAGTTTGACCCCCTTTTCTTTTTTCTTTTTTCTTTTTTCTTTTCTTTTTTTTTTTTGGGTGGGGGGGGGGGGGGGGGGGGGGGGTTCTTGATTTGAAATTTATTTGAATTTTTTAGAGGGAGACTAATTAGATGAATATGAATTTTGAATGGGTCTCACAACCGAGAAAAATTTTGGGGGTCTTTTGAGTTTGGGATGAATAGGGTCAAGAGATGAGAGAATTAAGTATACCCACCAGAAAGACAATTCAATCCATAATGATGTACCGAAAATTAAAATACAATATTTTTGTTACTTGACCAGCCCTAAGGAGAAGCAAATACAACGGGTACACTAATCAATAATATTGATGAAGTAGCAATTAATGCAAAAACAACCAATTGGAAAGCAAGATTCATGCTTTTAATCCTCCAAACTAAGAACAAATGAACTATATCATTTGATCCCCCTATTTGCCAAAACAAATTGAATATTAATATGTAATATAAAAGATATCATACAGGAATTTTATTTTATAACAATAAAGTAACGAATCCATGAATTCTATATGACATGACTTGTTACTCCCCTTTTCGAGTCCGAGGAAATGGAATTTTTTATTTCAAAAATGGGCATACTAGAATGTTCAACACTTATTCCAACGGACATACAAAAATCCATACAAGCTTGAGGTGAAAATTCACTAGCATTAGCAAGACGAATTGTCTTAATTGAATAATTAAGAAATTGAGCTCGCAAATGATTTATTTGTGCAAGAAGTCTTGCAAATGTCAAATTGCAAGTTAATAATGACACATGTGAACACCGATACATTAAAAAAAAAAAAAAAAAAAAAAAAAAAAAAAAAAAAAAAAAAAAAAACTAAGACCAGTCTGCATTTTTTTTTTTTTTGAAAGGGTGGGGAGGGGAGAACCCAGCTAGGCTAATTCCTAGCTCTCATTGCCTCATTCGTAAGGCAGCTATTCGCAGCATCAGCTTGGAGATAGCTCAAAACCTCATTCGGGGGGTTTGTGAACTCAATCCAATCACATCGTCTTCTCAAAGCTATCTTGGCTAGAGCATCCGCCGCATTGTTATGGTCTCTCGTAATGTGTTGAACATTGGCTTCCCAATCCTTGTCTAGCCAGCTTTTACACTCTTTAATGATTCTACCACATGGCCCGAGGATCTGTGTATCCGAGTTGATCCAATTTACCACTTCTTGCGAGTCACAAAGGAAACGAACTCGTTTCTCTCCATTATTCCAAGCCCATTTGATTCCGAGATAGAGTGCCCAAGCTTCGCTTTCTGCCACAGTGTCGGCTTTTGCAATGCAACTAAAACCTCTCTTCCAATTGCCATTTGCGTCTCTCATTAATCCTCTACATCCCGCAGGCATGTCAAGATTAAAAAAAGAAGCATCAGTATTCACAACGGAGTACTTACCATGTTGATTATTTATCATCATGAAGTGAACTTCCCTTTGTTTCCGGAACACCTTGGTAGTCTGATCAGCATACGTATTGATCCAATCCACTTTGCGCATTGCATCCCAGTCTTCATTGTTGAAAGCCAGATTGCACCTCCAACGCCATATCCACCATAGAATAATGGCGAAAACTTCTTTCCAATTGCTTTGTTCCCGAGTGTTAATTTTGCCACTGATGTTGTCGTCCATCCATCTCTCAAAATCTAAGGTATCCTGTCTCATAATTTCAGTGCCAGGTAGGAACGCCTTCCAGACATCCTTTGCCGCCCTGCAGTATCGGAAGAGGTGGTCAATTGTTTCTTCATTGTGACCACAGCAACTGCAGCTCGCATCCCAAGTGAAACTTCTCCGCTTTCGCTCGGCATTTGTGAGGATCCGCTGGTGCCGTAAGAGCCACAAAAATGCACATATTTTATTAGGTACTTTAATCTTCCAGATTTTCTCCCAATGACTGTTGGAATTGTTGATCGCACCGGTTGCAATATTATATGCGGAAGCAACCGAGAAGAGTCCTGAGCTTTCTCTCCAGTAAATATCATCCTTCTCCATCTCCTTACCATCCAAGTTTAGTAGGTCCATGAACTGTTTATTGGCCGAGGTGATATCTCTTTCCATGTTGTTCCAGTTCCAACCAATTCCTTGGATCCAGTAGTTTCTCACCGTGTTGCTAATGAAAGAGTTATTCTCTTCACTTTCTAGCAATCTTGTTCCATTTCCCAGCCAGTCATCTAACCAGAAAAGTGTGTCATTCCCCGAGTTCACTGTTTTCCTGATTCCTTGGCTAAGAATAGGTGCAGCTGCACAAATTCCTTTCCAAGTGTTTGAGGCGCCTTGCTTCCAACTTACACCAAGCTTAATGTTTTTATTTTGCATGTATTTAGACGAATTGTCTTAATTGAATAATTAAGAAATTGAGCTCGCAATTGATTTATTTGTGCAAGAAGTCTTGCGAATGTCAAATTGCAAGTTAATAATGACACATGTGAACACCGATACATTAAAAAAAAAAAAAAAAAAAAAAAAAAAATTTACTAAGATCAGTCTGCATTTTGTTTTGCTTTATTAAGATCAATCTGCATTTTGTTGTGGTTCTTAAACAAAATTTGAAAAAGTAATTTTCATTTTGATGAATATCAGTCTCCAATTCTTTTAGCTTCTTCAAGAGTGCCTCATGCTTTTCATCACCATCCCAAGGGCTTATCCTGTCTCTCACTCAAAAAACAATAATCCAAACTTCAAAAATCATATTATTAAAAAAATGAAATGATACATTTTTTAATTAGGGGATGAAGTTTTTAATTAAATCTCATTGTTGTGTTTTAAAAAATTGTCAACCAAACACTAACTATGATTGATTCTCATTCCTAGTGTGTAAACCCATAAATCAAACACACCCTAAGAGGTCGTTTGGTTCACTGAATGTCAGATTACCTTAGGGAATGTTAGATTGCTAGGAATGTTAGATTACTGTGGGTAAAAACAGGGTTATGTAATATAAACCTATTTGGTTGATGAATTATTGATTATGTTATAATAGTTATTTTACCTTAATACCCTCCTATTGTAAATCACCTTACAAACAAGAAAATGTTGGAGGTGATACAAAGGGCAAACAATGTAAAATGGCCAAGGAAATCCAAGATAACCTAAGATTGACAAGGGGATCGCATTCCCTCATAAAAAGAAAAAAATCTGATGTGGAGGTGATATTGGATTCCAAGGGAATATTGTATAACCTCAACCAAACAAAGGCATGTTATATAACTAACCTAATATAACCCCAACCCCCTAAATGTTAATTCAAGCATAAATAGGTACTCCAATGCCAACTTGGGTTCAATCAAATTCCAAAATTAAAGATTCGTATGTATGAATTGTGTGGATACATACATACATATATATAATGATAAGCAGAGTTCATAAGTGTTGGTGAAAATTTAAAGAAAAAAAAAAAAAAAAAAGACTTCCCTTACAAAATCATACTTTTAAGGGCATGTGAGAATAAATAACAAAACTTTTTTATTCAACTATATGAAATTAATGAGATTACAAGCAGAAGAGGGTACATGTCATTGGAAAAACAAAATCTGATCTGCAGATCAATTTTCCCTTGATAAGGAAAAGAATAATAATAAATTTCCTGAAGCACAATATGTACCAAAGACTCAAAAGCTATGGCCCCTCTAAATCTGTTACAAACATTTAACATGAAAGGATAATAGATGTCTTGCCTGCTTTCACAGAAACTCCAATGATAATGATAAACTTAATTTTCAGTGGTCTGGTTGTCGCCGAATGCCAAATCAAATATTTGAGCATAATCTTCGACAAAGTGCACATCGAGGCCATCCTTGACGTTTGGGGCAAGCTCGTCGAAGTCTCTTCGATTAGCTGAGGGGAATATTATGGTCTTCACATTGCTGCGCCTTGCTGCAATTGTCTTCTCCTTGACCTATTTTTAGAGATAGAATAAACTTGGCATTAGTTACATGGCACTTGATAATGTCAGTTATGAAAGTTAGCAGTGCAAGATAAATAATTAAACATGCTGGTGAATGATGAGAAAAGAGAATGACAAAAACCAAAGACAATTTCACATACCCCACCAATAGGAAGAATCTTTCCAGTGAGAGTAACTTCTCCGGTCATAGCCAGGTCCTTTTTCACATGTTTATTCATGGCAAGAGATAATAGGGATGTGATCATGGTGCAACCGGCACTAGGGCCATCCTTTGGGGTGGCACCAGAAGGTACATGAAGATGAAGTTTGGTATTGGCAAAGAAGGGGTTGTCAGGCTCCTTCTCAAGGAGAATAGTTCGGGCAACAGTATTAGCAATTTGGGCACTTTCTTTCATAACATCTCCGAGTTGTCCAGTGAGATTGAGTGCCCCTTTCCCATCACCTTGCTCGACCTTCGTAGTCTCTATATAGAGTGTTGAGCCACCCATTGAAGTCCAAGCAAGACCCATCACAACTCCAATTGGGGTTCGATCATATATACGCTCAGCATGGAAAACAGGTTTGCCAACATAGTCTGCTATATTTGAGGTGTCGATTACCACCTTTTGTATTGTTTTAGCTGCTTCATCACTTTCCTTTGTTTTCTCAGTTTCCTGGGCATTCAATCAAAACAACTACCATCAACATATTGGTCTTACATCATGAAAGTCGTGAGATAAAAGACATTCTATTTTATGCAGTCTTTGATTGGCAAAGGTATATAGAATGCACTCTACAATGTGATAAGAAAGTAAACGGAAACCACATTCCAGCAGGCAAGAAAAAAGGAAAGCATAAATATAGGACTTAAGCAGAGGTAATAACGCAAATTAATGAATGGTCAAGATACAACGGAATCTACCTCTAATTTGGTTCCATGATCGATAGGGTTATTTGTCTGATCATTTGGTGCTTCCAATACTTCAGCATCTACAGTGTTTCCAGAATCGCTTTCATTACTGCCCCCCTCTACTGACTGAGATCCAATTAGAGTCACTTCCTCAATAGCACTTTCATCTTTTACGCTTACTGAATCTGTTTTCACCTCAACTGTTTCGATTACCTCGGCTTCTTCTGCAGCATTTGGAGGCTCAATATATGCTCCTTGGCGGACAAGGTGCAGTGCAATCTGCATTACAGGTGAAGGATAAAAAGAACAATACAGCAATCAGATGGTTTAAATGCTAAAGAAATTCATAAAAGCGTTCATCACAGGTTAAACACTGCACGAGCTTAGTAAACGACAGACTAGCTGATGACCTTGCGGTAAATTTTTTCAATTTGCTTTTGGAGATTACGGACACCTGCTTCTCTGCAGTAATTTTCTATTAAACCAAGAAGGGCCCCATCAGTCAACTCAACCTGAACCAAAAGGGGAGAGAAACATTTGAAAATTCAAAAGCATCAGTATCTCTGCAGAAAATTTTGGAGCATATACAACCATGAAGCAGAAAATTCAGGTTAACAATTAACAGAAATTCTTGCATGTTGTCACAACCCTCTAAACTACCACAAAATTTTGCGACTGAAATTGAACAAATTACTAAAGAAACTGATGAATCCCATGACTTAAAGTGATAAAGAAGTGGTATATTTAACACCACTGGATTCCCACAATAGAAGATACTCCCCCTACTAATATCTTGTATCAAAGGTAACACTGATCTCCCTGACATTGTTTGTACCCCCTTTCTTACTCAATTTCCATAAGCAATGCAATATCAACTACGCCGTTTCAATTTCTGAATTTACTTAACTATTTGTTTCTGAAAAGAATGAAGCTAGATATAATGACAGTATATGCAAGTAGTGTCCGCAACCAATATGCTACCATGATCCTGATACATGTTTCTCAAAACTAGAGATCAATACATTAAGTTAATTAAAAATAAGAGCCTTTCTGCAACCAATCTTGCTCACGGGCCTAATATGCATATAATTCATTTAAATAGATGAGACACAACGTGACTGGTTAAGCCTATTTACAGAGTGAAGATATTCTTTACAGAGAGGGAACAAAAAGTTAGAAAGGGTCTGGAACCTGTTCAGGCTTAATGCCGCATGCTTCACGAGTGGCTTTCTCTAAATAATCCCTTGCAATATGAACCTTCTCATCGGTGATATAACCTGCTATGGAAATTACCTCCATTCTGTCCAAAAGAGGATTTGGTATCATTTCCACAACATTTGCTGTGCAAACAAATAAAACCTGCAACAGATCACAAGCTCTTTAGAACATAGATATGCTATATGTTTGAAAACTAGAAATAAAATAAAATAAACACCAGGTAATATAGGTAAATCCAACTTTAGAACATAGTACGAAGTAAAATATTTGAAAAAGAAAATAGAGAGAATGCTTTTCCAATACAACCATACATGATCAAAGTTAAAAAGCATTATCAGACAAAATGAGGAGAAAGTGAAGTTGACTACTATTGTAATATAAAATTTAAAAGGAAAAAATGAAACTACAGTGATAAGTAACAAGGTGCAGAGAAGAATAAATTACTTCTGTAGCTATCAATATGAAAATTATTGTATATATATATTTTGATTGATATTGATAGATTAGTTTAATGCTCAATCTTGAGTTGGATGTATGGTATAAAAATGTAAATCTTTACTGAGTAACTGAATGGTTAGTCAAAAGAAAGAACATTTTCTTACAGAATACAGAATATTCCTTATTTCCAACTCTTAAAATGTGGCAGTAAGTAATTTAGTCAAGGACTCAAGGAGAAAAACAGCATTTTTTATGCAGATATGTAATTTTAACATTATA